ACCCAGATTGTTGTTGGGGGCGATATGCTGACTCTGTAAACCGCTTAGAGAGGGCTGAAAGCCCTATGAAGCGGTATATAAGTCTAGCTGCTATTGCTACATACATAGATAGATAGATAGATTAGATATAGATTAGATAGATAAATGAATGTAGGTGATAGATGACATAGATTAGATATAGATTAGATAGATATAATTAGATAGATAAATGAATATAGGTGATAGAGCTTAGATATAGATATAAGATAGATATAGATTAGATAAATAAATAAATATAGGCAATAGATAGATGATAGATATAGATATAGATAGATGGATGGATGGATGGGTGGGTGGATGGATGGATGGTGTGGTGGCCTAGAGGTGGCGCTCTTGCCTCACTATGAGGGGGCCGTGAGTTCAATCCTAGGTAGAGGCAGATATTTCTCTCTCTGGGCACAATGAGAATATATCTGCGGCACAAGACTCCACACTAGCAACAGGAAGGGCATCCAGCCATTCAAAACACTCAGATCCATTCAGTTGCCCAGACTCCACGCTGACACAAGGGATTATGGGGCCGTTAAGAGAGGATGATAAAGGAGACAGATACAGGTGATACTAAGACAGACGGATGGATGGCAGCTTCTTCTCCACAATTCAGCTTCCAAATAAAGCGTCTTGCCCAATTATCCTCCTGAAACCGAACTTTTCGGCATTCATTCTTCCCGGCTTTCATACCTTCATACCGCTGTGAGTTTGTAACCTCGGCAGCTTCCCCTCTTCACGTAACTAAAAGAGGAGATGCAGGGGGGAAAAAAATCAGATTTTTCTCTCTCTTCAAGTTCCAGCTGCATAAAAGGGAAAGGTTACCCTGGCACACACATGCTAAGTCATTCCCGACTCTAGGGGGCGACGCTCATCTCCGTTTCAAAGCCGAAGAGCCAGCACTGTCCGAAGACGTCTCCGTGGCCATGTGGCCGGCGTGACTCAACGCCGAAGGAGCACGGAACGCTGTTCCCTTCCCACCAAAGGTGGCTCCTATTTTTCTACTTGCATTTTCTACGTCCTTTCGAACTGCTAGGTTGGCAGAAGCCGGGACGAGGAACGGGAGCTCACTCCGTTAGGCGGCGCTGGGGTTCGAACTGCCGACCTTTTCTGATCGACAAGCTCAGCGTCTTAGGGAGCCTAAATGCGGGGGCAAACTTACTCGGTTTTCCTCTTCGAAAAACTTCTTGTTTTCGGGAGAGGCGTAAACGGCCCGATTGTGGAGCAGGAGATGGTTGCGGCCGAAAGATCGGTGGATGAAGATGGTTTCGCCGCGGTTCCCAACGTCTGAGAGAGACAAAAAAATTGGAGTCAGGCAGTGTGTGTGTGCGCCCTCGACTTACTACGGCACTAAACAACCGTTCGAAGTTACCACGGCACTGGGAAAAGCGATTTACAACCGTTTTCCACACTTACGACCATGTAAGTGATCAAAATTAAGCCGTCAAGAATTGGGTCGTATTTATGACGGCTGCCAAGCGTCCCAGGAGCCACGGGATACCCCTTTTGCAACCTCCATGTCTGATTCGCTTAACGACCGCATGACTCGCTGAACCGCTGCAGGGATTTGTTTAGCAACGGCAGCAAGGAAGACACGTCTGCGCCGGGCTCCCCGATGGTCGTAGGTGGAGGACGACCTGCTGGGTGGCTCGGAGGGTCTCGTACCTTCCACGGGTTCGGTGAGGATGAGTTCGAGGGGCTCCTTGGGGCGGTGCTTGAGGTCCTCCACCAGGCGGTAGACGCGGAAACGGGGGTGTTTGATCCGGGGCTCCCTGTCTTTCTTCCCCAGCGGGACTTTCCACCAGCGCTCCACGATGACCGTCTCCTGGAAGGCAGAGAAGTCGGGGAAGGGCTCGGGGGCAGCCCCCTCCCCACAAGAGCCCCCCCCCCGGCAGTCTGCTCCCCTCCCCCAAATACGAGGGATTTATTTCATTTTTAGCTACTTTGGGGGGGGAGAATGCAGGACTTTTGCCTTGTGGATGTGAAGCAGCCGGGCCAAAGTCCCAGGATTGGGGGGGGGGGTTCTTTAGGGGAGGGGCTGGCCCCCCTTCCCTTCCCCATTTTTCCCACCTCCCAG